GCCTGGCTAATTTTTATATTTTTAGTAGAGATGGGGTTTCACCATGTTGGTCAGGCTGGTCTCAAACTCTTGACCTCATGATCCACCTGCCTTGGTCTCCCAGGGTGCTGGGATTATAGGCGTCAGCCACCGCGCCCAGCCAGCAGCATGGTTTTTTGGACTATAAAAGTTACAGTAATTATTCTCCATTACCAGGAAAGAAATCCCTTCATAGGCCTCAATCTATATTCAAGAGTCAAGTCAAGCACAAGCCTGTATTTAAAAAATTTTTTTAAAAATGGAAGTTTATTGAAATTATGTCATTAGAGTTGACAGAGAGAAAATATTCCAACCAAGAATTGAATTGAATAAACCTTTCTCAACACCTCTCTTCATTTAATTGTCAATTATAGCATACCAGCATGGATATACCACCTCGAGTTAAAGCCCACAGATATTGACTATATTCCTATCTAGGAAGGATCGTATGAAATACACATATGATGGGGCTCTCACAGAATGGGATATTTTCCCCCTTTTCCTCTCATTTCTCAATGCCCCTATGGGAATCGTGTAAAAACAAAGTCAAAAAGAAAGTTCTTACGTTCTTAAATCCTCTGTAAAGGATCTGAAGCTCTTTCTTGGTAAATTTGCTCTGGGCTTCCAGAAGCTCAAGGGCCTCTGGCCGATGTCTAACGGTGGCCATCTCCAGTTCATCTTCCACGCTGTCTGTGGAGGAAGACAAGAGTCTTAGGACCAGCTGCTGCTCACCGAGGCTTACACATAGCAACACAGGAAAACAGAACATGTCTGCTACTGTCTATGATTGTCCACAGAAGAAGGACCCTCAGAGTGCCAATAGGCCTTTAAATTTCCTGATTTCAAAGTTTTAAGCTAAGATACTTATACACACTTTTTTTGTGCATATTTTAGTCATTAATACAGACATTACAACTCTAGCATTTTTTAAAAGATAACAAAAAAGAGCACATAAATTTATTTCAGTTAATGAATGGATTATATGATTACTTCAAAGAAAAAGTATAAGTAGCAATATATATTATTCTATACATCTACCAGTGTAGTAACATATATTTCTTTTTTTTTTTTCCAAAGTTTAAGTTCGGAAGTAAATGTGTAGGACATGCATGTTTGTTCCATGGGTAAATGTGTGCCATGGTGGTTTGCTGCACAGATCATCCCATCACCCAGATATTAAGTCCAGCATCCATCAGCTATTCTTCCTGATCCTCTCCCTCCCTACACAGGTGCCCCGTGTGTGTTGTTCCACACCAGTGTCTCCATGTGTTCTCATCAATCACCTCCCACTTATAAATGAGAACATATGGTGTTTGGTTTCTGTTCCTGTGTTACTTTGCTATAGATAATGTCTTCCAGCTCCATCCATGTACCTGCAAATAAAATGATCTCATTTCTTTTTATGGCTGCATAGTATTCCTTGGTGTTATGTACCACATTTTCTTTAACCATTCTATCATTGGTGGGCATTTAGGTTGATTCCATGACTTTGCTATTGTGAATAGTGCTGCAATGAATATATGCATGCATGTATCTTCATAATAGAATGATTTGTATTCCCTTGGGTATATACCCAGTAATGGGATTGCTGGGTCAAATGGTATTTTTGCCCCTAGGTCTTTAAGGAATCACCACACTATCTTCCACAATGGTTGAACTAATTTACATTCCCACCAACAGTGTAAAAGTTTTCCTTTTTATCTACAATCTCACCAGCATCTCTAGCATTTTTAAGGTATGGTTAGAAAAGCATAAAAGGTCACCAATAGTCCAACCTGAAATTTGTTTCCATATTACAATCACTAGTGATAACCAATGGAATTATTGTTAAATAATAATCAGTTTTGTGCCCTATGTATAATGCAACTACAAGGTAAAACTCTGTTAATGTTCTCTAAGGATTCCATTGAAATAACATGTTTTGCCCAGCTACTTGAGAGGCTAAGGTGGGAGGATCGCTTGAGCCCAGGAGGCTGAGGCTGCAGTGAGCCATGATTGCACCACTGCAATCCAACCTGGGTGACAGCATGAGACCCTGTTTCAAACAAACAAACAAACAAATAACCTTAGACTTTCAGAATTCAAGGATATCTGAAGAAATATATAAGGAGATTTAGGAAATCATGGCAGGCAGGAGGCAGGACTAGATTGCAGCTCCAAACAGGGCAGCATGGAGAGGCTTGCATTGTGAGATTTAGCTCCACATCTACTGCAAGAACAAACCAGCAATCCCGAGAGGACCCATATACCCTCTGAAAGAAGGGGATTGCTCTCGGCAAACACCCCAAATACTCTAAGTGCATCAATTGCAGAAGTAGGAAAGGGAGAGCCTCCTCTCCTGAACACACCCATCCATTGTAGAAGCTGAAGGTCTGTTTGCCGGAGAAATTTCTGACCTCACCTGGAGCTGAGTCAAGTTAGAGAGCCGAGTGAAATACAGGGGTAGAGGAAACAGCAGAAAGGTCCTGGGAACTCGCTGCGTCCCCAAGCAGCCCATTCCCGCCGGGCACCACAGGAATCCATTGGGAGGGTGGCCAGAGGAGCAGGGGCTAAAACTCCGCAGGGAGAAGGAATCTCTAGCTGAACTCTGACACAATTTGAACCAGGCAAGAAGCCTCCTCACTAGAACTTGGGGGAGGGAGCAAATCAGGTGTATAGACTTCACAGGTGGTGGAAAACTAAAGCCCCTTTTTTTTTTCCAGCTGGGAAGCAGATAGCCCTGGGCAAATTTTGAAGCCCATCTCACGCTCCACCTGGAAACAGACTGGGGCTGTTGGTGGGGCCATGGTGGGAGTGAGACTGGCCCTTCAGTTTGCCTGGGAGCTGGTGAGGCCTGTGATTGCCAGCTTTCCCCGAGTTCCCTGACAACTTGCATGACTCAGCAGAGGCAGTCATAATCCTCCTAGGTACACAACTCCAGTGACCTGGGAATTTCACCCCTGTCCCCCAAAGAAGCTGCATCAAGACCCGCCCAAAAAAGAGTCTGAGCTTAGACTTGCCTAGCCCTGCCCTCACCTGATGGTCCTTCCATATCCACCCAGGTAGTGGAAAACAAAGGACATATAATCTTGGGAGTTCTAGGGCCCCGCTCACCTCTGGTGCCTCTCCACTCTACTATAGCTGATGCTCTTTAGAAAATGCTACCTCTGCATAGGAGGCCAATTAGCACAAAGATAAAGCATTAAATCACCAAAGCTAAGGATCCTGATGGAATCCACTGCACCCTCTGCCACCTCCACCAGAACAGGCACTGGTATCCACAGTTGAGAGACCCATAGATGGGTCACATCACAGGACTCTGTGCAGACAACGCCCAGTACCAGCCAGGAGGCAGGTAAACTTGCCGGGTGGCTAGACCCAGAAGAGAGACCACAATCACTGTAGTTTGACTCACAGAAAGCCACAGCCGTAGGAAAGGCGGGAAAGTACTACATTAAGGGAACACCCCGTGGCAAAAGAATCTGAACAATAGCTTTCAGCCCTAGTCCTTCCCTCTGACAGAGCCTACCCAAATGAGAAGGAACCAGAAAACCAGGCCCCATAATATGACAAAACGAGGCTGTTCAACACCTCCCAAAAATCACATTAGTTCACTAGCAATAGATCCAAACCAAGAAGAAATCACTGATTTACCTGAAAAAGAATTCAGGAGGTTAGTTATTAAGCTAAACAGGGATGTCCCAGACAAAGGCAAAGCCCAATGCAAGGGAGTCCAAAAAATGACAAAAGAAGTGAAGGGAGAAATACTCATGGAAATAGATAGCTTAAAGAAAAAACAATAAAAAGTTCAGGAAACTTTGAACACACTTTTAGAAATGTGAAATGCTTTGGCAAGTCTCAGCAATAGGATGGAACAAATAGATGAAAAATTCAGAGCTCAAAGACAAGGTGTTTGAATTAACTCAATTGAGCAAAGACAAAGAAAAGAGAATAAGAAAATATGAATGAAGCCTCCAAGAAGTCTGGGATTATGTTAAATGACCATACCTAAGAAGAATCAGTGNAAAAAAAAAAAAAAAAAAAAAAAAAAAAAAAAAAAAAAAGAAGAAAATATGAACAAAGGCTCCAAGAAGTCTGGGATTATGTTAAATGACCAAACCTAAGGAAAATTTATGTATCTGAGGAATAAGAGAATTCTAAAAGCCTGGAAAACATATTTGGTGGAATAATTGAGGGTAACTTTCCCAGCCTTGTAAGAGACCTAGGCAGCCAAATGCAAGAGGCATAAAGAACACCTGGGAAATTCATTGCAAAAAGATCTTCACCTAGGCACATTGTCATCAGGTTATCCGAAGTTTAAATGAAGGAAAGAATCAGGAGCTATGAGACAACTATAGGTAACTATAAAGGAAAATCTATGAGATTAACAGCAGATTTCTCAGCAGAGACCCTGTAAGCTAGAAGGGATTGAGGCCCTATTTTCAGCCTCCTTAAACAAAACAATTATCAGCCAAGAATTGTGTATCCAGTGAAACTAAGCATCACATATGAAGAAAAGATACAGTCATTTTCAGAAAACAAATGCTGAGAGAATTTGCCGTTGCCAAACCGCCACTACAAGAACTGCTAAAAGGAGCTCTAAATCCTGGAACAAATCCTGGAAACACAACAACATAGAACCTCTTTAAAGCATAAATCACACAGGACCTATAAAACAAAAATACAAGTTAAAAAGCAAAAACCAAAACCAAAAAAGTCAAGTACACAGGCAACAAAGAGCATGATGAAAGCAATGGTACCTTTAACACTGAATGCAAATGGCCTAAATGCTCCACTTAAAAGATGCAGACCCTCAGAATAGATAAGAACTCATCAACCAACTATCTGCTGCCTTCAGGAAGCTCACTTAACACATAAGGACTCACATAAAGTAAAGGGGTGGAAAAACGTATTTCATACAAATGGACACCAAGTGAGCAGGGGTAGCTATTCTTACATAAGACAAAACAAACTTTAAAACAACAGCAGTTAAAAGGGCAAAGAAGGACAATATATAATGGTAAAAGGCCGTGTCCAACAGAAAGTATCACAATCCTCAACATATGTGCACCTAACACTGGAGCTCCCAAATTTATTACAACAATTACTAATAGGCCTAAGAAATGAGACAGACAGCAGCACAATAATAGTGGGGGACTTCAATACTCACACTGACAGCACTAGACAGGTCATCAAGACAGAAAGTCAACAGAGAAACAGTGGAGTTAAACTATACCTTGGAAGAAATGGACCTACCAGATATATACAGAACATTTTATCCAACAACCACAGAATATATACTCTATTTAGTAGCATATGGAACTTTTTCCAAGATAGATGATATGATAGGCCATAAAATGAGCCTCAATAAATTTATGAAAATTGAAATTATATCAAGCACTCTCTCACACCACAATGGAATAAAACTGAAAATCAACTCCAAAAGGAACCTTCAAAACCATGTAAATACATAGAAATTAAATAACATGCTACTGAATGAGCATTGGCTCAAAGACAAAATCAAGATGGAAATTTAAAAATTCTTTGAACTGAATGACAAGAATTATAGAACCTGTCAAAACCTCTGGGATACAGTAAAGGCGGTGGTAAGAGAAAAGTTCATAGCCCTAATGAAACTAGATCATCATCTCTCACCTTATACAAAAATCAGCCCAAGATGGATTAAGGACTTCAATCTAAGAGCAGATACT